AACCTTGCCACGCAAAACCAACACAATCACAAGGAGCAGCATTGGAAAATAGGTCTTCTAAATCATAACACGTCTAAACAAAAAAGGATCAACGTAAACAATTCTTCCAATAAGCAGAGTTGTTCAGAAACAAACTGCGTTAGTGATGTCTCTTGGCCTGCCCTGCAGGCAGCTATTCTAAGGCTGTAGTTGTCCCCTTCTCATTCATCCACCATTACCTCCTGCCAGGCCAACTGGTCTTGACTGGGAGCTGTGACCCAGTAGCACGAATAACAGCAAATACCTTATATAAAATGAAATGCTCTTATCTGTTTACTGGAATGTTAAAAGAGCTAGGAAAAAAGTTAAAAATAACTAAACCTTAAAACTAATATCTTACCTACAGTAGTTTTTTTTTGTTAGTGTAAACATGTTCCAGTTAGGCCAGGTACTTAAAACTGTTCGGCTGCATGGGGCAGGTTGCCCCTCCCAAGTGTTCCCACTTAGAAGTGCATTTTCCCTTCGGGTCTTCACTTTTTATCTGCATTTTGGTTAGAAAGTTCCTACATGAGCGCCCCGGGGTTTCTAGCAGGGGTATTTCATCTCACTTCATCAATTTATCCTGGCGTTGCCCTACGCTACCCTCGTAGGCGATGCCTCGGGTAAGCATCCTTTTGAGTACTGGTAATTTGGTTGCACCTGTAATCATTGCATTGCATATTTACAATCCAAAAGTAACACAAGCTGATTTAAGTTAGAGGGTTTATAAATATTAGAAAGACCTCAAAACAGCTATTCTTGTGTCTGTGCTTCATTCCCAAAATGCTTAAGACTACCTGTATTAATAAATTAAACGTGCCCAGGAACATTCCCAGGCACTGAAATCCCTGATATGGAGTGGCCCGTGCGTGTGCTTGCAGGCCAGGCAGGATACAGCAGGTACCTACAATTACACAACTGAATCGGACCCAGTATCTCTCACCAGTGGTGACCTGAAAGACCAAATTAAATTACTTTTTCTTTGGAACACGTGTCAAAAGTTATGTCAATAAATAAGATTAACAAATTATTACCGTCATCTAAATACATGAGACTTTCACTAGCGTGCAAAATACCTCCGGTATACACCAAAGCAAAATGAACATATGGGAGTTATCTCTGCAGGATTTGGTTCGGCTCCAGATTGTAGACACCTAAATCTGGTGTCTAACTGCACGTATTTTTGTGTGAGCCACACTCTGTGTTCTCACTGTAGTCGATAGGTACGTACTCAGTACAGCCCCTAGAGAGCAATTCAGCTAATCAGATACAGGAATTTCCTTTAGGGAAAGCTGAATTGCTCTCCAGACTCCATTGGCTGTATTAACTAGGCAACTGAATCCTACCTGTGATGTCTGAGGGCTCTGCTTTATGGATATAGACAGATGGTATGGTCTGTGCAAGGTAAAGGCACGGCTTTCGTGCTGCCCACAGGACTCCCCCCAGTGCACGTGTCAGATCTGTCCCCAACAGCCTTGTCTTTTCGTACTTTGTCCGAGTTGTTACTGGTGCTTTTGGTCCCAAAGGGCCTCCTTACCTTTTCACAAACAAGAAGTCTGCGCTTGCTTGGATCCTTGGTTTCTCTGGATGCTTGATCTGCCAAATTATCAACTAAGTCTACAAAAACACAAGAATATAGCATAAAAACTAGCCATGGTCAGGCAATCCACCATCTTCTCTCTGAGAGGTAGGAGAAGTGTTCTGGAAGTGCTTCTGTCGATTCAGCAAGCATGGTGGTTGAGTCCATGTAGGGTATCTGATATCAGAGCTACTGAACAGAAGAAAATAGTGCCATTGGTTAATGCAAACAGCAATATAATGAGGAGTGTTTTCTTGAAAAAAACTCATCAGAAGAGTACGGTGATTTGGTTGTGTACTTTCAGCATGTCGTATTGTTATTGCTGGGTTATTCAGAAATGTCAGTTAAGAAACAGCTGGTATTTTCTTCATGTACACAAGCCTTTTATCTTGCTGAGTAATTTTTTAAACAAATTAGCTCACCTATTGCATAAATAAAACAGTGCTGCATGTAGAGGTCTAAAGTGATTTCTGGTTAGTGTTTTGTTGACAGTTTGACTTATTTTATTTTACTCTTTTGTACTCAATTTCTTATCAGTTAATGAAACTGCTACACTACTGTGGTTAATTTACCCATTTATGCATTTAATTCTTTATGACATTAAGGAAAAATGCTTATTATATTATACAGAAATAGGTTTTGAATTAACATAGCTCATTATATATACATTGGTGTATATATAGATATTCATCTACAATGCTTAAGTGAACTCCTATGGTTTGGCTGTCCTATAAATCACCTCTGGCTAGATGATCACGAATGAGCAAAACATTTTTTGCAGATGTGAAAATCCTTTTTTGCCTATAAAATCAAAGAAGATGGTTATGACAGATCTGGGTCACTAAGACAATGGGATGTGCACTAGCAAGATGTTAGAGCAGCAATATATGGAGTTCTTTTAGAGACAGTGGACACAAAGGACCTCCTTGGTTGCCAGGTCTCATCCCTCTCTGTCAGGTCATATAATCTCTTTGGTAAAGTGATCAAGCTCCATCTTTATCCATTACTCTTCCCAGAAGACTCTTCTACTTCTGTTGTGATTAGAAACCTTTTATGAGTTTGTGATTCAGGTTTTTTAATGGGTAGTTAATATTTTGATTTGTTTGTTCTCTTGTGGCTGCATCTGTCTCAGTTTTAATTTTTGAATTTATTCTTTTTCACATAGGCATGATTTGAGTCATGTGCAGCATCCTGGATGAGGCCATAGCAATGTTGTACACAGTGCATTAGTACTTTTTTAACTCACTTGAGACTGCCCAGAATCACGTTTGTCACAGGCTTGACATTTTAATAGTACATAGTGACCAAGATACCAAGTACTTTCTCCTCTGTTGTTTCCCACTGACAAGTCCCATAGCTGAGATTAATGTTGATACTCAAGGGTGCGATCTTGCACTTTGTCCCACTGTCCATTTTGGATCAGAAGTGTAGCATTTTGTATTATGTAAGAAATTCCAGTAAGAAGAATTTAAGTTAAACTTTTTAATATGCAAAATTCTAAAAGCCTTACTGAAATAAGTGGGATGGTGAAAAACCTTATGATTGCTCCGACACTAGAGACTCAGTTCAGTTACCCACATGTCAGCGTCTAATCCCATAGGAAGGCCACCTAGCCTCCAGCAGCTTCTTGAGAAGGACATCGGCTCCCCATTTGAAACAGCTGCTGTCCCTGTGCAAATGCTCAAGTATCCGGCAGGTAGACAACTGAATCCTGCCCTTGGGATGAGATTCAGGTCCAGATTCAGATCACAACCGTCATGTTAGGTCTTCAGTCTAGGTGTCTACAAGAAAATTAGGTGTCCAAAGCTGTTCTTAAAGTCATTAGGAGCTAGATAATCGAGCAAGTGGTTTCTAGGGTGCACTGTTTAAGTAACCAGATATGAAAGAGAAAATGTGAAAGTTGAAAGAAGGAGTAAATTCCCATTAAGACAACAGAAAATGACGTTGCTTGCTAAAGGCTTCTGATGTTTCAGAGGAAAAAAAATAAAAACCTTTGCACCACAGTAAGGAAGAAATGAGAAATAGTAATGATGGTAACATACATCTCCCATTTCTTCATTTTTGTTCTTTAGCTGTCCACTGAGGCAGTAATGTTGGAAGTCAGAATATGAATGAGTCTGAACAAGTCAATAGTAAGTGAGAATTTCAAGCTAGTGTAATTCAGCCCGCAAGGCAGGGCTCCTCTACCATTTGTTCTTGTTGTCTTCAAGGCTCCTTATGTAAATATTTGGGATTTTGGCAGGGTGCTTTCTCTTTGTTATTGAAGTGAAACATTTGCTGCAAGCATACTGAATGAAGTCTGCTTCATAATTATTTGCGGTAACAACTCAGCAATGGAGACTTACGGTTGTGACTGCCAATTCTGTATTAACGTGATCTTCTTTTCTCCCTCTCCCGGCTGCAGCAAGCACGCAGTTGGTGTAGGAAGTCTGCAAAGCAGAACAAGCAACCATATCCATCTGTGTCAACAGATTCCGACTTCACCACTCTGCCAGCCTTTCTTCCTCAGAGCCACCGATCTGTCCCTGAACCACCAAAAGAAACAGGTCAAAACAAGGTACATCACGCAAACGGCCTTGGTCATCATCTTGGTTTCTCCCAGCAGGACTTGAGACATAGTGATCAAGGAGACTTCACACGCAGATCCAGCAGTGCCTCCAGCATTTCACGGTCATTTCAACGAAGCAAGTCTCTGTTCTGCTTGCCCACGGTGAACTCCTCCTCAGCCTCAGACACTTTTCATTTCAGTAAACCATTTCAGTTTTTAAATACTGAGTCACCTGCAACCAGGTTAAAAACATGGAGATGCAGCCCCAGGCTTAACACTGACGACTTGGAGGGTGCCCAGGAGACTGATGTAGACACAGGGATGAAGTTGTCCTTCTCAGACCTGTCTGTGGTCTCTGCATACTCTGTCCTTAATGGATTTTGCAATGACTTGGAAGCCTCTCTTCCCCTACAGAAGCGAACTGTCAGTAAGGCTAAACAGGCAGCCACCAGTGGAAGGCCTGTATCAGCCATGTACAATACCTTTGAGTCAGTTGACAGCTCACTGCCTTCTCTCTCTGAGTGGTCTTCCAGCTCTTTCATGTCAGCATCTGTCTCCAAGCAGCCCAAACAGTCCTCAAGAGCAGCTGCTTGTTTTCTGGATGATCGAGGTAGTGTTTGCCCAGCTTCACCAGGCAACGAAGAAGAATTTTACATCTGAGGTTTCTCTATCCCACACCCTTCCAGGGCAAACGTGTTCTACTTGTGAATGACAGCAGTGGGCCCACCTTGAGTTTGCAGAAGGTTCCTTGCTGAGGAGAAGGTGATACAGCAGAGCATGCTAAATATTTGAAGAAGGCATTCGGATCCCTCAGAGGTGGGTGTCCCCAAACTATGTACAGTAAAGCAGTCTGAGCTTGCACCCTGTACATTTGTGCTGGAGGGGGATGATCAGAGGCTTGTCCACAGCAGTGCAAAGTGGATTCTTTCTATGAGTGATCCTTGGACTGGTGGTGAAGGAAGTGACAGAAGAGGCACATAATAATCCAGTTTTCTTTGGCAGAAACTGAAGAGTAATTTGTGACACCAAACTGCTTTAACTTTTCTGAGAAATTCCCTTAACTCAGGAAAGACGGGAGGAGAAAGGGGTCTTCTTTCCCTTTCACAAGTTCGAAAGGCAGCTCTAAGCACAGCAGATCCCAGGAACACATTGCATCTCCAGTAGAGTCAGCCAAGACATTTCCTGTGAGGACACACACAGTTCCTTCTAACTTCTGAGAGGTGGCAGTGCTGAGGTGGGGAGGGAAGAGGACGCTCCTCTGTGTCTGTTACTTTGACAGTCCAGGATGTGGAAAGTGCCAAAAGCGAAACTTTACAGAACATTTTCAACCCGTCCCCTCAAAAAGCTCATCCTTTCCAGTTGGAAGGGAGCCATCTGGGCTGTTGCCTGACCTGCTCGTGTAGACAGTAGTAAACTCAAGTAAACCATGTTTGCTACTTCTAACTCAGGCAATACAGAGCTTACCTTTTTGGAATACAAAACAAGGAAGATAACCCAATGTTTTTATATATTGCTACACCACTAGCCCCAAATATATGGCAGCTCCCTATTTTTTAAGGGGTTGGTTTTTTTCTGTTAAAAATAATTAATGCAGAAACTTATTCTTCATATTTCCAATGCAAGCATACTTCTTTCTGAGTAAAACACATTTCTTCTCAAATACCTCTCCAAAGGGAGAAAAAGTAAAATTTTACTGGCTTTTCAAGTGATGTTTTTAAAATACGCGTTCTTGATAACCTGTCTTGCTCCAATTCATTTGGTATTTTTTAAAAAAGCAAGTAAAAAGCTGTTAATATGACAGCTAAGTACCTTCATCAGGATTTAAGTTGTATATACAGATTGCATCATGCATGTTCTGAAAAGCTGCATTTCTGGCAGAGAAGCAGTGCTGATTGCAGCTCTGGTCTAGCCAGTGAGAAAATGACCATGTTAAAAGGTGTATGTATAATGCTGTATGTAACCTATGTACAGGTAGAGATGCTGAAGACCTACCGTGATGGTATTGTGGTGGATGGAATAAAAACACATTTGTGCAGAAAAATGTTTGCTATATTACCAGGTAGTTTTACTCAGAAGAATTGCTGCTTTGAAAACCCAAAACAACAACAACAACAACAAAACCCAAAAAGCATACACATACTTTAAATAATATTTACAAAAGTGGACCAGCTCCCCTGGGCCATTTAAGTAAATGCAGTTTGTACAAACAATTCTGGAAGAAAGCCTGGGGGAAATTGCGTACAGGTTTATAGGGGAGGAGGGGGGATTCCATTAAACCCCCAATACAGAAGAGGCCAGAGGGATAGTCAAGAGTCAGGATGCTACTCCTCAAGGCTTTTTCCTTTTGCTGTCATTTTCTCCACACAGGGAATCAGGCTGGAGTCCAAGTCTCCTCTTTGTGAGATGCTATCATAGCATGTACCGGAGGTAGACCTTGTCTTTTGTGCTAAACACAATGTATAAATAGGAAAATCTATTCAAGCTCTAAGAGCACAGGAGATTATCAGCCTCCTCCTGCCCTCCAAACTGTTTAGGCTTACTGCAGTTTTTGGGTAAACTCTTCTCTTAAGAAATGTCTGGGACCAGAAATAGCACCAGTGAAGGATTTGTCATGGTGTGCATGTGTTTACCTGCTCTATACTCTTTCAGAGTCCACTCAGTCTTTCCTCTGACTTTTGTGGCCTTTAGATCAAACCCCCTCTGAACACAGTGGACCTGATTTGTCCGAAGTTGTACTCCATGATATTGTTTGTACCTTCTCAAAATACTTACAAAACACTGTGAGGTCAGACAAGCAATTTTTTCCATCAGCTTGCAATTCACCATAGGAGCAGCAATGCCTGGGACAGTCAGGCTCCACAGGTTTAAACTTATGATTCATTATTTTCTGCATATTCGTGGTAGTACAAAAATAAATGATGAAATAGCATTTTGTATTTATGTGACAGCAATTTTATCAACACGAGCCACTTCCAGATATGACAACCAACAGGATAAATTTGATTCAAATCTGTTAAAAAATTTAGTATTCATTATTTGGAACAGGGGGGGGAAAAAGCCATTTCACAATGTTTTAATAATATAGATAACATTTGATCTGAACATGAAATCAAAAGCTGGTTTGAGCTGATGTGTCTGTCTGATCCTGGAATCATGCCAACATCCAGACTCCTGACAAAAGCTGGTCGGGGCTTTTAACGAAGAGGAGGCTTTGAAACATATTTCCGCCTAGGGCGTGCCTCTCCAAGAAGGAGTTTGGCACATCTGGGGGCCATCTCCTGAAGCGGCAGGAAGACCTCTGCTTGTACTGGAGGTCTACAAACAAGCACAAGATAGCTCAAGTGTCAGTCGTGAAGCTCACGTGCGGCATTAACCAGCAGCTCCACAAACATCTCCGCTTCAGACTTCACCATGTTAATCCTAATGGGAAGAAAGCCAAATGAGCTTCCACGGACTCTGAGTTTAAGCTGTCTCCACTGGTTCTGTCTCTGAGTATTTCTCTTCTGTTTACTGACACTTATCTAGAAATGAAATCTTAATTGTTTACGTTTGTGGTGCTTGTAAACAAATTTTGGAATAACTGAGCGTCCTACTGTCAGAAAAAAACAGATGATAGTGTACAGAAAACCTTTTGTCTAAGCCAGATTTTGAGGAGTGTTTCACTGAAGGTAGGCTTCATTAATTCTGTTCCCACTATTTAAGAAGGGGCTGATCTCTTCAGGGCATTGAAAGGCACAAGTTTCATGGCATTTACTTATTGTTTTGGTTAAATTATCAACATTGTCATTTGAGAACTGCAGATTTTCCCTGAACTTTCTCTCCTCCTCACCCCAGAATGCGTTGCTTCTGTGAAATAAAACAGAGATGAGAAGTCAATTGTGGTCAACCTTCTGTGTGTTCATTTATGAAGTATTGCAGACTCACTGACTATTTTACCTAGGCTTCAGAATGACTGCAGTGACACAAGCTCTCCAGCTCTTGGCAGTGCATGTTGGTGGGATAATTACAAAATAAACATAGTAAAAATATTTTTATGTTAGACTCAGCTTTGCCTCTACAGACCAGATCTTTTGATTCTCAATATGTTGTTGTAAATCATTTGCTCCAGTAAAGCTGAATGATAAATTAGGAGCTGTGACACATGTTGGTAATCTTGCATGCTTAAATCCCATCTTGGTTTGTTTTGTGTATGTTGGTCTTCATAACAGTGCTTCCCTCTTATTTCCATCAGTGTGTGGTGTTATCTATTTTATGTTTCTTTATTCCCCTCATGGGACATGTCTGCATGTCAACAGTACATTGTATATGCAAAGCTATGTAGGTTTGGCTTTGTTTAGTTTTTATGGTTTTAATGGTTTTATGGTTTAACATTGTGGGTTTTATATATATTTATATGGCAGTTATAGAGTCATAGAAACATCAGGAGTTGGAAGAGGCCTCTGGAGGTCGTCTAGTCCAAAGTGTCTGCTGAAAGCAGGCACAAAGCTGCTCAAACCTCAAAGCTTTGAAGTTAAATCAGGTTGTTCAGGACCTTGGCTGCTCAGGTTTGAAAATATCCAAAGGTGGCAATTTCAGAGTGTCTCTGGGCAATATGTCCCAGTGCTTAACCACTGTCATGGTGAAGAATTACTTCCTAATCTGCAGTCAGAATTTCCCATGTTCGAACTTGTGATCTTTCCTTCTTGTTGTTTCGCTGTGTACCTCTGAGAAACTCTGGCTCTGTCTCCTCTATAATCTCTCTTTGTTGGAAGACTGCAGTTGCTCCCACAGCCTCTTCTTGCACATCATATACTGTAGCTCCCTGACCACCTGAACTCTCTCCAGTTTGTCAACATCTCTCTCATACTGGGGAGCCCAAAACTGTATGCAGCCCTCTGGATGTGGTTTGAGGAGTGCTTAGAAGGCAGGAAGAATAATTTCCATCAACCTGATGGTAACTCCCTTGCTTATACCACCCAGTATGCTGCTGGCCTCATCACTGCAAGGGTGCACTGCTTAATCATGTTCAACTTGCTGTTCACTGGGACCCCAAGATCCTTTTCTGCAGAGCTGCTCCCTAGCCAGTAGGTGGTTAGTTTATGCTGTCATATCAGGTTAGTCCATGCCCGATGCAGGACTTGTATTTGTCTTTAATGAACTATATGAAGCTCTCATTGGCACCTTCCTCCAGGTAGTGAAGGTGTCTGTGAATGGTAGCCCTGCCCTTCAAGGTATTGATCACTCCCCCCAGTTGGGTGTCATCTGCAAACTTGCTGAGGGTGCAATTCATCCCCTTATGCAAGACATAGACAAAAATGTTGAACAGCACTGGACCCAGTGTTGACCTCAGAAGAATGCCACTTGCAGCTGGCTACCAGTTAAACTGTTGTCCAGTACCCTTTGAGCCTGACAATCCAGTCAGTTATTCAGTCACATTGTAGTCCACCCATCTAGTCCATGTTTCCTTGATTTGGCTACAAGGATACTGTGGGACACTATGTTGAAAGCCTTGCTAAAGTCAAGGAAAATTGTATTCACTGTCCTTTCTCCATCCACCAAGGAAGTAATCTCATCAAAGGTGCCAATCAGGTTAGTCAGGCATGATTTACTGTTGGTAAATACGTGATGGCTTTTCCAAATCAGCTTCTTGTCCATCTTGAGCATGGAAATGGCTTTGAGGA